TTATCTCTCTCTCTAAGCTCTCTATCTCTCTAAGCTCTCTCTCTCTCTGAATTCTCTCTCTCTGAATTTTCTCTCGCTATTTGGGCACATATATGAGTGTGTGCGCGTAAATTTGCATACGTATTACGAACACACACGTAGCTGCCTTTATAATGCGTTATGTAAAATTTCGTTTAGAACGAAATGTGTATTCTTTAGAAGGGTAATTGAACCCTATTGGGGTGGGAAATCTTCTGTGGCTGAGCGCTTTAAACACAAAGGATCATACGGTAAAGTCCGAACCCTGCTTGACGGTGCTTTTTTTAATTATTATTAAGACTCTCGAATGCACAGGCCGGTAGTAGTCATTAGTAGCATAAAATAAAAACATAATACAGGGTGCCCCCACCCCCCAAAAAAACCAGGGAATTTTAGACTTGCTATATGATGAAAAAAAATTCCGTGTGGGGTTTACTGTTACATCAAAACTTCAATTACAGAGGTGAGAGATTACAGACATACAATCCTTAAAAACTGTGTTGATAGAAGCTTGGAACAATATCCAGCAAAAATTCCAACAATTAAATAAACTGCACCAAATTTCCTGTTTTTTTTTTGTGTGTGTGTGTGTGTGTGTGTGTGTGTGTGTGGATGTGTGTCTGGTACCCTGTAGATTACATTTGTTCCTGATAAATTAAGGCGTCATATAAAGCATCACTCGTTCAGGATGAGATATGCATTCATTAGAAGAGTAATTGAACCTTATTGAGGGTACGAAATCCTCTGTGGCCGAGTGCTTTAAACACAAAGGACCCTACGGTAAAGTCCGAATCTTGCCTGACGGTACTTTTTTTTTTATTAAGACTCTCGAATTCACAGGACGGTAGTGGTAGGTAGTAGCATAAAATAAAAACATAATAGATTACATTTGTTCCTGTTAAATTTTCAACGAAGAATTTACTATAAAAATAGAAAAAAGAATCAATACGCCAATGTTAATAATTAAAAAACAAAATAAAAACTGCATCATTAATAGCGGCCGCAATCTTAACGACATCAGATATGCAGATGACACTGTGTTGATAGTAGACGTAGAAAAGAAAAGAATTCTTACATAAGGTAGTGAAGGAAAGAGAGATTAATGGATTAAACATCAATTGCAAGAAGACAGCATGCATAGTCGTTAGCAAAAGGAATATCCCAACATGCAAATTACGAATTGGAGATACCAAAAACAAGCAAGTACAACTGTTTAAATATCTGGTAAGTATTATAATAGAAGACGTAAAGTGCGACACTGAAATCCGAAGGCGTATTGGGATAGTGAAATATGCCTTCCAAAAGCTAAGCAAAGTATTGAGAAACAGTAAGATATCTGGGAAGTGTTTTAACAGAGGACAGAAAGTGTGACACTGAAATCCGAAGGCGCATTGGGATAGCGGAAGATGCCTTCCAAAAACTAAGCAAAGTATTGAGAAACAGTAAGATATCTGGGAAGTGTTTTAACAGAGGACAGAAAGTGTGACACTGAAATCCGAAGGCGCATTGGGATAGCGGAAGATGCCTTCCAAAAACTAAGCAAAGTATTGAGAAACAGTAAGATATCTGGGAAGTGTTTTAACAGAGGAATGAAAGAGTGACAGTGAAATCCGAAGGTGCATTAGGATAGCGAAAGATGCCTTTCAAAAGCTAAGCAAAGTATAATAAAACAAAAAACATTTCGTTAGAAACAACAACAAAAAAGCGTACTGCTATGTAATATCAGTTCTCTTATATGTCAGTGAATACTGGACAATCTCCTCACGGATGAAGAAGAGACTTGAACCAGCATAAATGTGGCTCTACAGAAGGATACTGAGAATACTATGCACCGAAGTTCTAGAGACAAGGGAAACAAAAAGTTCATTTCTACTTAACACCAGGAAAAGGCTTAAATGCACAATTCTGCTTTGTTCGATCGGCCAGACCCTTCATGGCCGAGTTGGTTAAAGGCACCTTGGACCTAACGACTATTTCATCTGCTGGGGGTGGGGGATGCAAGTTCGAATCCTGCCAGAGTGCATCTTTTGTTTAATAATATTTATCGAATATTCAGGCGGGTAGACAAAAATAAATAAATATATTGTTTAATAAATAAATGGAGCGTTTACTCAAATATGAGTATCCACTAAAAATAACGGGTGTTGCTATATTATCATATCTACGGAGACATTTGTGACTTACCGTAAATGACGATGCATTCATTATTGCACGAAAATGCTCAGAGAAAACGATGACCTGTTTACTGTATTTTTAAATGACATCGAATCGGTTTGCAAACATTAAAATCACTCCTAACCCTAATCCTAAACCTAACTCTTAACCCTAATCCTAAAGCTAACTCCTAACCCTAATCCTAAACCTAACTCTTAACCCTAATCCTAAACCTAACTCTTAACCCTAATCCTAAACCTAACTCCTAACCCTAATCCTAAACCTAACTCTTAACCCTAATCCTAAACCTAACTCCTAACTATAACCCTAACCAAATTTTTAAAATTTTTTCGATAAAAAATTGTTAATGATTTTTAATACATAACCAATTCACAGCATTTAACCCTAACCCCTAAACTAACTCCTAATCCTAAATCCTAATCATAAACCTAAGTCCTAACCCTAATTCTAACCCTATTTTAAAAACTTTTTTGAGAAAAAATTGTTAATGATTTTAATACATAATCAATTCACTGTTAACTGACTTTAACCCTAACCCCTAAACTAATACCTAACTCTAATTCTTAACCCTAGCCCTAACCTTATTTTTCCGATAAAAAATTGTTAATTATTTTTAATATATAACCTGTTCACTGTTCTCTACCTTTAATCCGTGCCCCTAAACTAACTCCTAACCTTAACCCTGACCCCTAACCTTAACCCTATTTTAAAACATTTTTTCGATAAAAAATTGTTAATGACTTTTATTACATAACCAGTTCACTGTTCTCTAACTTTAACCCTAACCCTAACATATTTCATACTTCCAACAGTTGGTAAATATCATACAATAGTAGAAAATGAATAGTACATACCATACTATAGTAGTACCAAATAATACTGAAGTGATAAAAGCAATCAGAGTGTGGAATTTTTTTTTTTTTTTTTTTTTAAGCTTCAGCACTTCGCAACGTTACCATAAGTTTGTGACAACTTTGGAGATGAGCGGTCAGTTTGGAGTCATGGAAATAGTTGATTGCAACGTTGCAGTAACGTCGTCCCAACCTCACAATGTCCTCCAAGCAAAATACAACCGTGTTTGTAACATTACCAGAACGATCCGTGTTCAGCCAGCCTCAACAGAGAAATTTTGTGTCCATATTGATTTAAAAACCTATATTTTACAGTGCATCGGATCATAAAGTTCTTAGTTACGACACAAAATATTCTTGGTCCCGATATACATTGGCACAAATAGCGTTTTCTTTTTAAATTAATTTCCCGCTATGGTCATAAATAGACGCAATTTAATCACGTTGATCCTAAGATGCGGTACGTAATCTTTGATGTGGAAAGATTTATTAGATTTGTTCTTCCCTACAAAACTGCATTTATACTTTCCGGTTGCTTACGCTTCATACAAATTTATTCATTTGCTATGCAAAATGTGACCTTTTTTCTCATTGATGTGACATTTTTTCTCATTGATGCGACCTTTTTTTCTCTCATAGATGTGACCTTTTTCTCATTGATGTGACCTTTTTTCCTATTGAAGTGACCTTTTTTTCTCATAGATGTGACCTTTTTTCTCATTTATGTGACCTTTTTTCTCGTTTATGTGACCTTATTTCTCGTTGATGTGACCTTATTTCTTATTTATATCTCTGTCATTAAATGGCACTCACGAGAATAGTTTCTTTAACTAAATCTTCACACACACACACAAGCCTCAAGAGCCACTAAAGATAGAGACTTAAGTTTATAAAGATATGTAAGATAGAAAACACTTGCAGTAATCGGAGAAACATCCTCTCGGGAGTCTGTTCCACAAAGTAATGGTTTCCAGAAAGAAGCTGTCTGAGCGGAACTTTTTTCTTACCAATGTATTGATTATTTTACAGTTTATCAACCCTTTGCGGATTATTGAAAGCCAGAAAATGTTTTTAAACTGTAAGAATTTTTGGGAGATAATGATTTACTGTTACAAGCCCCACTAATTAACCCATAGCTCAGGAAGAGATAAGGTGGATTCATGCCTTTTTCAAGTGTATTTGTCCGTAAGTGAATGTAACAAATCTGACAAAAATTTGAACTCGGCTCCCCGATTTCTCATTCCGAGTCGTTATCCGTTACACCACCCGCACATCCAAAATTATCATCTACGTACTGACCAGGTTCAACTTTGCGATGATCGTACGGGGACCGGGGTTTCAACGTGTTATAGCTGTAAGCCTGTTACCAATGGAATATACATTCTTACGTGTGCAGGTCTGAGGATTTAGTTAATTTTCAGTACAATTGCTTTATGAACGAGTTGCTTATAAAAAGAATCGTATATATCCAGTTAGTGCTAACTTGTGTCGGCCCTGAAGATTTCAGTTTTCTTTTTCTGATTGTAAGTATCTGATTGTAAATATTTCCTTGTGCTTATAGCCCTTAAAAGTTCCTTATTGCTCACATGTTCAGTCCAGGGTTCTTCTTAGCATTCATAGGTATTCCAACCTTTTTGTCACTTCTACCATCTTCCTTTCGTCTGTGAGGAAATGGTAAGACCAATTAAAATAGGCCCAATAGACTAGATTAGATTAATTACTGTAAATTGATTACTTAAGGTCTATTAGAATAGTTTGAAAACGATTACATTTAGAGTTTCAGTTTTGAGTCTACCTTGACGCATTCCACACAAACGAAACTTATTAATAGTTTTCGTTTTAAAGTCTATATGATATATAACAGTAAAGGCACTTTTGTTCCCTTTTCTCGCGTTTTCATGACTTTATAACAATAATTAATGAAGATTTTGTTTTTGTCTCTTATCAACCCGGCAGGTCCTTCCGATCCACGAAAACTGGATGCCCGCCTGATTTGCCCAATATTTGATGTGATTTGTCCTTACTTACCGGAATCAGTTAGAAAAACACTGCATTTCGGCGTACGACACCAACACGTAAGTTTCTATATTTATTTCAGTTCTTCCTGTAGTTTTAATAATTCTAGATTAAATAGGAAAAAAATCTTCACTTTTACTTCAGATACATTGGTCTATACATGTCTTAATTAGCATGCCATTCCTGTAAGATATTAACACCTTTCTCTAGTCGGCGCTGTACAAAGGTTGGTTCGGCAAGGTTGTTTTGATAGAGAAATATTGATTTTAAAAGCACTCGTAGCTTATTAGAGATTATCTTATATATATATATTTTTCATTATATATATATATATATATATATATATATATATATATATATATATATATGACAATTGGAAAAAAACGTTCATGAAAGTATGATATTTCAAAAAATATCCGATAATGCATTTCGTCCATTTTGGGCTATGGGAAAATGATCCCGCCAGTGTTATACGCTAATGACAATTGGAAAAAAACGTTAATGAAAGTATAATATTTCGAAAAATTATCCGATAATTCATTTCACCCATTTTGGGCTTTATCATATCGAAAACAAAATAATGAATTGCGTGTGTATACATTTGTGTGTTTATTTAAAATAATGAGATCATATATTTTTACCAAGATGGCGTTGCTAGATAATGAAAAGAAAATGAGTGACTTATTTTTTTTAAAAATGTCGTTAAATATTTTATGTTCTTTGCTTTAAGTGTCCGAGGTTAGTGATGGAAATCCATCAGAATAAGTAAAAAATACATGAAAGATTTGTTTTTATCCGTGCGTTCTCCATGGTGACAACATGTTATAAATTTGAATAAATGAACGGAATTAAACATTATTTCAATTAGATAAAAAAAAAAAACTTTCATGAAAGTACAATGTCTCGAAAAAATATCAGATAATGCATTTCGCCCACTTTAGGCTTCATCAATTAAGGAGCGTTTGAGATAATTAAATAATTCATCGCACCGAGTCTAGAAGAAACCTCAACAAAATGCAGAAAGCACTGGACTACCGAGAATTGAAACCCGGATAGCTACATTGACAGGCAAACGTCATACCAACTGTACTAACGGGCCTCGGTGACGAAGAGGTAGCGAACTCAATATTGCGCCGCTCGTTCACATATTCTGTGGTGGAACTCATCCAAGTTCCTTTACCCATAGGACTGTGCCTCCGAGAGCCACGACTACCATCACCAAGCCGCTCCATTAGAAGCCGGTTCAAGCAAGGATAGTAGATAATTAAGTAATTCATCGAGTCTAGAAGAAACCTCAACAGAATGCAGAAAGAACTGGACGGCCGTTTCGTCCTATATTGGGGATTCATCAGCAGTGCGCATCGACTATTCTACCGAGAATTGAAACCCGGACAGCTACATTGACAGGAAAACGTCATACCAACTGTACTAATGGGCCTCAATATAGCTGCCCGAGTTTCAATTCTCGGAAAGTGAATGCGCACTGCTGATGAGTCCCAAATATAGGACTGGACGGCCGTTCATTGCTTTCTGCATTCTATTTCTTCTAAACTCGATGAATTACTTTATATATATATATATGCGCGCAGGTTACTTTTCGACTTGGGCGAAATGCATTATCGGATATTTTTTCGAAATATTATACTTTTATTAACATTTTTTTTCCAATTGTCCATTTTAACACAGACACACACACGCACACATATATATATATATATATATATATATATATATATATATATATATATATATATATATATATATATATATATATATATATATATAAGTGAACATTGAAGTCAACACTCAGGGGCGACAGACCATCTAAGTTCTTGTTTAATAACCATAGATTCAATACATGCCGATCTTTGCCAAGTGTAGTACTTTTGAATCAGGCACATGTGAATCGCCATGAGATCTTTAGAATATAATGGAGATAAAGCTGATGAAAGAATTCAAGGCGCTGAATATGTCTGTGGTAAGTTATGTCCATGTCGCACGGCCTCATGATACACCTCGTCTTTCATTGTTGCTTTTATGTTTGGTTGTGACCAAAGCCTCGATTCAAGTTTAACCAAATACGTCACATGTCTTCGAGGGTCTATAAAAGACCTCCTCAAATTTAAAGTCTTTAAAGTCAAATACATATATACATACCATATTCGGTCTCAAAGATTGGGGATAAAAAAAGGTGATTTTAGTTAAAAACTAGAGCCTGGAATGTGGGAAAATACGGAATCTCAGAATGGCAGAATTTTTCATTCATTTTTACAATAGATTGCTTTGTCAGAAATTTATAATGATTTTATTTAATCTTTTCCATCCTCCTTAACCCCGTCTTTCGCCAGTGATGATAATGATTAGGTTTTTCACAGGGATTTTCGTGTAGTGTAACGGTAATAATCACGAAAATTGAAAACTCCAAGCTAAGTTCAAATTCCCGCCAATTTTAACAATAAATAAATGAAAGAATTACATTTTAAATTGGGTTTTCACATTGCAAATGATGATTAAGTTTATAAGTAATAAATTTAGCTTTTTTCATGAGTTTTTCTATTCTTCCCTCAAATTGTAGAATTGTTTTCAGACCACACAGAAGATATTAGGACATATCAACATGAATATTTATCAACATTTTGATATTAGGGTGCATGAAAACGTATTTTGATCAACATTTTGATATTAGGGCATATCAACATGTATTTTTATCAACATTTTGATATTAGGGTGCATCAATATATATTTCTATCAAGTTCGTACTTTAAAATTCATGCAAAATTTATGCAAAGCTATCGATATAGTCTCTTTCAATATTCTTAACTCTTCTGAAAGCTTTCAATGATGCATGTCGGTTTCGCTTCTCGATTTCCAAGTATCATAATCGATATTCGCGTGTCGTCTGCTTTAATGGATAAGCCACCATTCTTTAAAAAGATTCGTGTGGTTGCAAATACTGTGTTAGCTAGTATTATTTAATTGAAAGAATAAATTCGGTTTCGAATTCTAGTGCTGGTCTAATTTAATGGGAAAAGTGGAAGCTATAAATAGTCACCCCTAGAAAAGAACATGGAGACAGTCATGATTCATTTTGTGTGACTACATACTTCAGTATCGACAACTACGATATACTACTTTACAACGCAAATCATGTGAAAAAAAAAACACGATTGGTGTTTTCATGACTAACAAACTTTTATTAATTCATTGAATCATCAGAGATCTTAACAAAACTGTTTTTCTTTTGACAGGAATACGAGGACGACGCAGAGGAAAATGAAGAAACTACAAGAAATGGAAGAAGCAATAGATACGGTAGCCCGCTCAGTTACGGCAATTACAACACGCCCAGACATCACGAGGTGTCTGTTTGAAAACTAGACCCTACAGAATACTCTAAAAAAAAAAAAGAAGCTTATTTGTTTAACAGACAAAAAAAAAAAAAAAAAAAAAAAAAAAAAGATATAAAAATCTAATCTGCGAGTGTGTGCTGAAAGGTTCTCACTCTGACCTTTTGTTTTTATAATGGCATGACCTTTCAGGATGTTCTTAATAATGGTTTTCCATTGCTTCCTTTTCTTTAACATAGGTGAATTGTCAGGCCTTCTTTGGATAGATAGTGGAGTGGTTTCCTGTTACCATCTCTATGGTTTTGAAGTCAGACTTTTCCTTCTCATCGACTGGTTGCCACAAAGCGGGAAAATCCCAGCCTATTTCTGCTATTTAACCTATTCGTACAAGGATGTGTGAGCAGTGTACAGGATATTTATGCTTGAAAAACCGATTCGGCGAATCGAATTCAAATTCCGACTTAATCTGTTACATTCAATTTCTCACAAATGCTTCATGAAAGCCTCTCTTCTTGCCGAAATCTGATCATATATCAGAATTTATTTTTGGCATCCTTTCTTGGTCAGGCCGAGAACTTTTCAACAAACTCCTTTTTATAAGGCAAAGACTACTATATTCCAAGATATCAATGTCATATCTTTAAATCAGACGATGACATCATTTACTACCTGATGAATTCTTTTATTCCCGGGAGTAATTTTTTTAAATGGCATGTCTTTTCAGGACGTAAGCGATCATGTCTCTCCACAGAATCTGCACAGCATCCATTTCTATGCATTGTCATGCATTCTTGGGAAAGATAGTAGAATGGTTTCCCGTTGCCTTCTGTATGGTTTGGGAATTCAGAGTTTTCCTTCTCTTAGACTGCTGGTCGCTTAAGGCTAGAGATTTCAGTCTACCCTATTACTTCTGAGAGAAGAGATGGAATCATACATTTCCCAAAGGTATTTTTGTGAAAGTGAATCATCTTGGCCTGGATTTGAACTCGGCTCACCAATCCCATTTTTTTCACACCAATGACCGTTACGCACCACGTACATTAACATTACTCGAGATTGAAGGTGATTTTTAAGTCCTTGAATGTCGCTGATTCATACTTTAAAACTTTCAAAATATATATTTTTAACTTACTATTGTTCTGTTTACTTGAAGTTGTCATACGAATTTCTCAAACAAGTTTTGTTGAACACAAAATTGATATACGCGAGTAACTATCTACATGTTGCGGCTTAAAGACTTCTATCAATTATTTTCCGTTTAATACTAGACGCCAATTTAACGTTACAGCTATTTTAGGTTAGTTAATTCGTTTAGTTAATTTAAGGACATATGAACCCCTGTTGGGTTATTTAATGTCGAACATGTGCTTATATAACAAAAGTAAGCATGAATTATCAGAATGGCCAATCAAAAAGGCAGAAATAGGTCGGGGTTTACACTAGAGTTAAATGTAGACATTTAGTTCGGTTTAGATAAAAAAAAGAAGACAGACATAGGTTTTATAGTAGAGTTAGAAGATAGAAATAATTTCAGTAATTTACAATAGAATTAAAAAGTAGACATGGGTTCAGTTTGCAATAGAATAAAAATGGTAGACATAAATTCGGTTTAGATAAATAAAAAGGACAGACATAAGTCGGGTTTTACACTAGGGTTAAAAAGTAGACATAGGTCGCGGTTTACACTTCAGATAAAAAGTAGACATAGGTCGCGGTTTACTTCTTCGGTTAAAAAGTAGACATAGGTCGCGGTTTACTTCTTCGGTTAAAAAGTAGACATAGGTCGCGGTTTACTTCTTCGGTTAAAAAGTAGATATAGGTCGCGGTTTACTTCTTCGGTTAAAAAGTAGACATAGGTCGCGGTTTACACTAGGCTTAAAAAGTAGGCATAGGTCGCAGATTACACTTCGATTAAAAAGTAGACATAGGACGCGATTTACACCAGGGTTAAAAAGTAGACATAGGTCGCGGTTTACACTTCGGTTAAAAAGTAGACATAGGACGCGGTTTACACTAGGGTTAAAAAGTGGACATAGGACGGGGTTAACACCAGGGTTAAAAGTAGACATATGTCGTGGTTTACACTAGGGTTAAAAAGTGGACATAGGACGGAGTTAACACCAGGGTTAAAAAGTAGACATATGTCGTGGTTTACACTAGGGTTAAAAAGTGGACATAGAACGGGTTTTACACTAGAATTTAAAGTAGAAGTAGGTTCGGTTTACATTTGAGTTAAAAAGTATACATAGGTCGGATTTTACAGTAGAGTTTCAATTTGCATAAAACTCGAAAAGGTAGACATGGTTTCAGTTTAGGTAAATCAAAAAGACATAGGTCGGATTTTACACGTTGTTGATACAGTAGACATCGGTCCAATTCACACTAGAGTAAAAAAGCTAGACATAGATTCAGTTTTACAGTAAAGTTTAAACTAGTCTTAGGTCCAGTTTGCCCGAGAGTGAGAGGGGTAGACGAATTTTGTCCGTCTTACTCGAATCAGCAAGTATCCGACTGGAAGGATTGGGGGATTAAGTTGGCGTATTCTAAATCCCGCCGACAGGCCAAGTTGTAGGTAACACTTCATCTATAAGCGTCATATCTACGTCTTTGACCACGAGAATTATTATAGTAGGAGTTCTTTTACTGAATTTTGTGTAGAAAGTTATTAAACAATTATCGTGAATGAAAGGTATTTGCGAGTCGTGTAGCTGTTATCTATGCAGGACGTGAAATTGGTGAAGCGAGTTCAAATTCTGGTCGAGTCAGTTGTGTTCACTTTCACACAAATACCCTTGGGAAAGGAAAGGAATACGTTTCGTCTTCCCAATTATGGGTTAAACAGCTGGATATCTTTGAGAGGCAATCACTCTAAAAGGAAGAATATTCTAAATTTTAAACCAACCTGATAGGTTTGGTTTGGTTCTCTTACCCTAGATACACCACTGCTGCCACACCCGAAGTTGCCTCTGTGACCCTGAAGATTTACTGTACTCGTGACGATAAGAACCAAAGATATGACGTAGACATCAAGGATCATATCCTAGTCTCCGTCTTATAATCATCCAAAGTATATGATCTGCCGGGAAGCATACATCTATCAACAAAAAAATGCAGCTCCATAGGAAAATGGAGCCAAAATTCTCTTCAAGGTATTCTTTTATTACAGTTCTTCGGAATCACCATCAGCTGATTTGTCATTTTCACCTTAATCTCAACCACATTATGAAATCTCTTATTTTTCAACAGTAATGTGAAAATCCTGATCTTGCAGGGAATGAAATCTGGGCAGTATGGAGGTAGGGTAGACAAAACTGCGTAATGCAGAATTTTGCAAATAAAATTAAAAAAAAAAACCCTGCACAGTGTCACAGTATACTGCCTTGCTCAACATCGACCCACCGCAGATTGAGTAACTCTATGAGAGTATCTGTTCACGCCCGCGCAGTAAGCTTCCTGCTGATTGGTTGTCAAGTTTGATGAAAGGTAATAATTAAAAAGCTGAAGGCGTAAAACTTTGACCTTCTTGGAAACAAAAATATAAAAACATTTTTCTCAACGGAAATTTTATTTAAAACGCAAAGAAATGTATTTCGTGGAACAAACACACAAATATTTTTTCCAATGATAGAGCTCAAACACCACCAAAAATATCCAATAAATGATTGGCAAAATATTGACTTATGAAAAGCTCGACGTATGGTATACAAGTTCAAACATGCAGTCAATGGTACAATCTATGTGCATATACTAATTCGATGAACGTATCTATATATACAAAAAGAAAAACACAAAATCAGCCACCAATGTACGCCCCAACATCAGCATTATTTTTTAGCACACACACACACAATATTGTATAGGGTGAATAAATTTGCTTAGTAATCTACTGTTGAAAGAATTGCTCGAACTTTAGACTGTCGTCAACTTAAGGGCGATCAATTTTTACCGTATAGAACAATTATTGTTTAAACGTTCATAGTACTCATTGTTGTCTTTTTTGTGTCCTTTCTTCTTAATATATTCGGGACTATTTGGGCCCTAGATGAATGAATGGGAAATAACCGAATGACAAAAATAAACTCAAGAGCAAAAAAATAAATAAATAAATAAATATAAAAATAAAAATAAAAAAAAATGAAAAAAGAAATGAATGAAAGAATAAAATGACAAATAAAAAATATTAATCCTGAGGAGTTTTCAATTAATTCCAAAAGAATAAAAATGGGAAATTAGTCGGTAGTCCTTGAGCTCATTTCAGCAGGATGCTCAGCCTCTCTTTGAAAATAGCCAGCGTTTGGAAGCGTTTACAAGATCACTACGTTGCAACATCAAAACATCACTTCCGGTTGTCTATCGGCTTCAGGGTAAAGAAGTTGGATTTTGCCACCGTTTTCGAGTGCTGTTTCATCAATTTGTGTGAATGACCAGCACATCGTCACGTTTGGGAAGGTGAAGTATCCATACAGTAATCTTTCTTTTTATGTGTCGTGTTTCGTCAGGTCGTAGGCGATCATGGCTCTCCACATCTTCCTGTCCCTTATAGCTCTTAATAAGTCTAATAACAAGTTTGCTATTTCTCCCAAACCCTGTTTTACCATCCATTTACTCACGGCAATCAAGTATGTTACGCGTGCTGCTTTTCTCTGTCCTCTTTCCCTCAATTTGTCCTGTGAGGATCAGATTTACCAGGCCCACTTTCCTCACTATGTGACCAAGAAATTTCAATTGCCTCTTTCTGATGTTAAGTATAAGTTTCCTCTTTGCTTTTATATTCTGTAAAACCTCGTCGTTGCTCGCATGTTCGATCCATGGTATCCTCAGCATCCTTCTGCAGAACCCTATTTCTGTTGCTTCAAGTCTCTTCTTCATATTTGACAAGATTGTCCAGCATTCGCTGCCATACAGGAGGACAGATATGACGTAACAATTCAGTAATATTTTCTTTGTTTCTAACGAAGTTTTTTCTGTCTCTTAATACTATGCTTAGCTTTTGGAATGCATCTTTGGCCATCCCAATACATCTTCGAGTCACAGTGTCACATTTTCTGTCCTCTGTTAGAACACTTCCCAGTAGTACTTGTTGAATGAGTGCAGTGTAAAGAGAGTTTTTTTTCTTTTTGCCTTTGGGGAGTAAGATTTGGAAAGCAACGTTTGGTTAGGCCTATTCTTTGATTGACTTTTTTTACGATCCTAGAAATATGTGATCTTGGAGATAAATCGCCTGAAAGTAAAATAAAAGAATTTTCTTTGTTTATTCACTTGTTCAAGGCAAACGCCATCTCAGGTGGAAATGTATTTCAACTTGGATCTGATATTTACCACAACACACATTGAATTTTAGAAGCCATAATGTAACCGAAAGGGAATTTAAATCATTTTGAAGTAATGAGCAGTCTTCATTGTCATAAATGCAACGATATAATTTCGTTTCATCAGTAAATAACTTTGTCGTAGATATGATCACACCAGGAATTACTATTATCATTTGTAATTATTGATTTTTCGAAACAGTAATATTGGGTTGGTGCAAAATTATCAGGCGTTTTTAAAATAATATTTATTATGAAAAAAGAAACATAATTCAACAATAACATTTTTAAATGAGTATGATTATCGACACGTATATTTATAACCTGGAAATAAAATATTTTTATTAAAAAAAATACAGCAATTTTTATTAACAAATAACTCACCTGCAAAAACGCCTGATAATTATGCACCAACTCAATATTTTTCGTTATGCTCTACAGCAAGACGACCCGAAGAGAACTAGAATTTCGAACGAGTCAATTTTAAATAACATCGAAATTGTATCTTTCACTTCCAATTGTGAACTGTGAAATTCTACAGATCATAAAGTAAGTTCAAAGTAAGACTAGTTCAGATCAATCCGACATATTGAAAAAGTTTAGGAACAGAAAGAAAAAAATATCATATGTGACAAACAAATAAAGACAGAATCTACATCATTTGGTGCAGCCAAAAGAAAGCCATTTTTATAAACTGCTGATCAACGGAGGCTACTACTTAGAATTCTGATACGTTGTCATCTTTTCAGAAAAGTATTCATTTACATTTTTATGTTGTGTAGCATTGTTAACTATTAATACAGTAGGAGTTCGCAGTACGAATTTAGTTAGTTCCCAGATCAAGCTCGTATTACAAATTACACGTATTACAAAGCGTTTTTTTTTCTCACTGAAATTAATGGAAGATTACTTAATCCGTTTCAGTTATCCCAAAGCATACAAAATGTCTCTTTTAGAATTTAAAAAAGAAAAAAGAAAACGGACCGTAAGAAATTAAATCCGCAAAAGTCCATGTAATAATAACATGATAAGAGAGAATGAAAGAAATAAACAGCTTTTATTAAACTACAAATCTTTCATTAGCGAGTTTCTGCTATTTTTCCGCAGAACTTAAAGACTTTTGTGGCGTTTGATTCGATTTCCGTTCTTGCAGATCGTTTCTTTATAAACTTATTAATAACGACACATGGCCCAGTGGATAAAGGCGTTGGTTAGATCCAGTGACAGAACCCAAAAAGTGTAAGTTCAATACCCGGTTAAGGCAGTGGAGAACTTTCAGAGGGAAATTAACAGGCGATAACTGGCACGTGGAACTAGAACAGTTTACCCCAGTGAGCGAAATAAAGGGTTCAGTTCGACATTCCAACCACCTGAAGAAGGCGGGAGCGTACAACGGCCGAAACGTTGTGATAAATATGGCGACAAAGATGAGGACAATAGTCCGAATAATGTAAATAATGTACATAATACCTCATCTCAGAAATATAGACGAGGTATTATTTATTTTATTCGACTATTGTCCTCATCTTTGTCGCCATATTTATTACAACTTATTATTCTATCTCAGAAATATAGACAGATACTGAAGAAGGCCGGAGCGTACAACGGCCGAAACGTTGTAATAAATATGGCGACAAAGATGAGGACAATAGTCCGAATAATGTACATAATACCTCATCTCAGAAATATAGACAGACTCTAATAAAAATTTGTTTCGTTCTTGATTTCAAAACGCCAAGAAAATAGCACAATTTTCGTTGAACAAAGCAGCCGCACGACTTGAACTTAATTTTTATGGGTGGCATTTTCCCACAAAGTCGTTCACTTTTTTTTTTTCCACATCGCCAGCACTTCTTTGATCTCACTTGTAGGGACAACCTTCGACACACTTTCCTCCTTGGCTAGTTCCTTTACCTCCTCCATGTTTTGATGCTCCTGAAGCAGCTGAAGTACCTCTGCCGTCAGTTTCTCTTCGTGCTCGTCGGGAAAGGGAGAGAATCTATAGCGTTGGTAGGTAACGTTATCTGGGATAAGTACTTTGAAGAATGTTCTCCAATAAAATGAATAAATGTTCTGGACGGCAGGCGTTCACAGATGCGCTTCGCCTTGCCTTTGATCGTGTTGTTTCTTAGAAATAGATGACGTCAGCTGGCAATGCTTCACTTTACCTCAGTCACCGACCGCTTCCGTGTATATGACGGCTGCTCGTACTATGAATTTTTACTCGTCCTACGATACAACGAATACTAAGAAGCAATAATCTGTGCAAAAAGAAGATAATAATAATAATAATAATAATAATAATAATAATAATAATGATACACACAAACAGATCTATCAAATCTAATCGCCCAGACATATTAATCAAAGACCACAAAAACAGAATGTGCTTTCTTATTGGCATGGCAGTCCTTACATATTGTGATATATCTTTGAAGATCTTCAAAAACCATCAAAATACGAGCATCTTGAAATGGAAAACTCAAAAATATGGCACATGAAGACATCAATAATTCCAGTTGGAGTTGGAGAACTCGGATTGATTGGAAAAAGGTTCGATTGGTATTCCTGGTAGTGCATGAATTAAAGAAATACAAAAAAAAAATGTACTCACATGTACAGCTCGCACATTACGAGGGGTTTTATCTCTGTAAAATGTAAATGATCTGATTTTTTGTTATTACAAAATGATCAGTAGAAAATGTCATGAATTCATTTTTAACCTTAGGTCTCTAGTTGCAACCCGGAAGGAAATGAGTATACAACAGAAATTCAAGGAAATAATAATAATAATAATAATAATAATAATAATAATAATAATAAACTATATAATAGAAGAAGAGCTAATTTCCTGTCCGTCACGCACTGTTTGAGTGTCTCCTTGCATGCGCGTATATAATGTATATGCGTATGTCTGTTGTGCGTGAGTGGCTTACATGTGTTTGTGCCTCTTAATGCTTACAACAGCACACGAACACATACACACGCTTATAAACATAGATCCACACATACAATTTAAGTTTGAAATAAGACATTGGAATAAAACGTTCTCCTCTTACACAGTTTGGACAACCTCTTCACTGGGCTGAACAAGTGAAAAATAAACCTGGAGACAAAAGAAAGATGATTCTTTTATTTTTTTTTTTTTTTAAATCAGAAAATTATAAGATTTTATTCAACCTTTTCAAAATTATTTGTTAATAAATAGAAATATTTTTGGAACATACATTTTTTAATTTTATAGAAATATTTTTTTTAGGTTTGTCATTGAAGTGGAATCAAACCTACGCACACAATGTAAATAAAATGAATTCACTCTTTCTGGGAAGAGGGGTTCCATTTCTTATTTCAAGTGTCCTCTGCGTAGCCATGTCAATGATTTTTCATCCGTGATACTATTATTGATATTTCTAGAATTCTCAAGCCAGTAGTATCTGTTTTTTTTTTTTTTAGTAGAGATCAAGTGACAACAAATCTCCTCCATAATCTGATTCTGTTCTGCGCATTCTGGCTCATTTTAGCAATTGGATGGCTAATGCTCATCATTTGATCCCCCCCTATTCTTTTCGAACAGGAGTAGAGGTTCATCCTTTGTTTCCTGTTTAGAAATGGATTTCCGGTTCCTTCTAAAGTTTCCTCATTCTCTTTCACACATAGTAGTCGCTTGCAATTTAGTGGCGTTGCCGGCTTACTTAAGGTGAATTGATTAAAAAGAAAAAAAGAAGAAAAGAGAGGAGGAGGTAAAAAGTGAAGATTAGGATGCGCCAGCCCAGAAAAAAAAAATTCTTTATTATGAAGAAACAGTCACTCAGTTATGTCCCATACTTAGACGATCCTGTATCTTTCGATACATGACTGGCGAGGCAGATTTTTTTCCCGTAGTAGGTTACCATTTCTTTCTGCGGTAGACCAGTTGCCATCCAATAGATGAATTTTATAGAACCCGGTCTATTCTGCTATTTACCCATAGCTGGAGGAGGAGAAGAGGATTTATACCTTTCCCAAGGGTATTAGCACGTAAGTGAATGTAATGGATTCGACTGGAATTTGAACTCGGCTCTCCGATTTCTCAATCGACCACGGTGGGAAACTGCTAGAGAGCATTGCCCATAATTTGACAAATCTCGCAATCTTTTATTCTCTAATATTTTTGGAACATACTTTTTTTTAATTTTATAGAAATATTTTTTTAGGTCTGTCACTGAAATGAAATCAAACGTACACACACACAATGTGAATTCACTCTTTCTGGGAGGAGGGGTTCCATTTCTCATTTCAAGTGTCCTCTGCAGCTGTCTGATTCCTCAATCCGAGCCGCTATCCATTACTCTACTGTGCCTGAAGAGACAACCATGAAAAGAAAGAAAAAATCCATGCATAATATGTGAAATGAGCTCGAAGCTTCAACCAAGAAATCAGAAAGGTAATACTTCCCCAGTTAGAATCGTCATCCCTAAGCTGGGAGCTCTAGGGACCGACTGAGACAAATACGTTCGCATGCGTGGGCTAAAGGACCCCTTGAGAGGAGAGGGCCTTAGAAAGGCTGTTCATAAATGCCGAAGTTGGGTGAGTGTCCCTTCCAAATTAGCTCTGCTTTTGTGCAAAGCCCCTATACTTACCCATTTTCCTACTCTTTCATTTACATCTTGAAACTGCTAGAGAGCATCGCCCATAATTTGACAAATTTCGCCGGCTTTTTTTTCTCTCTACGGGACAATAGCCGAGTGGATTAACGCGTCTAATGTTGTAATTGTGAGTTCAATCCCTGGTTTGGGTAGTGTGTATTATGACTCGGTGGAAACAGAATACAGATCGGTATTTTCTGTAGATTATCCGGATCGATATACACTTGATTGATTTACAATTTTATACGGCTTCTCAAGAGGTGGATTCATATCTCTCTCAGTGGTGTTTGCGCGTAAGTGAATATAAGGAACCCAACTGGAAATGGAACTATGTTCTCAGATTTCAAATTCCGAGCCGTTATCCATTATACCACGAGCACATCTATTTAGGTATTGACCAGGCTTGTCCGGTTCACACTCCTCCCCGTTTTTTTGAACAGGAGTAGAGGCTTAATACTTGATCCCTGTTTAGGATTAGGTTTCCGTTTCCTTGTAAAGTCTCCTCCAACTCTATAATTTTAACACCTCTGCCTAAATTCTGAATTTTTATTTATTATTTATTTTTTCCTTAGTAGGAGTAGACAGCTTCGCCTAACGTCCGTTTCACACTCTTCTCTGGACTTTTAAACGAGAATAGAAGTTTATCCCTTGTTTCCTGTTTAAAAGTGGGTTTCCGGTTTCTTCACCACTGTAATTCTGACGTCTCCACCTGAAATCTGAATTTTATTTTTATCCAGTCATTATTATTATTTTTTCTTTCTCAATAGGAGTAGATAGGTTTGCCTATTGACCGATTCACACTCCTACGCGGTTTTTTGAAAAAGAGTATAGGTTTAATCCTTGTTCCCTGTTTAAGATTGGGTTTCCGGTTCCTTCTAATGTCTACTCCAACCCTGTACTTCTAATGCCTCAACCTGAACTCTGAATTGTCTTTTACTAGTTATCACCCACGATAAGAGTGAATAGGTTCGACTATCGATCGGTTCATTGAACAGGAGTAAGTATTGATCTCTCGAATCCTGTTTAAGTTTCGGTTTGAGGCCCTTCAATACTGTACGTCTGATATCTCCGTCTTAAATCTGAAATAATCTTATTCAGTAATTACTATTTTCTCCTCCGAATAGGAATAGATAATTTAGTCTATTGCGTGGTCCATGTCCATACCCGGGGTTTTGAAAAGAAACAGAGGATCATTACTTGTCTACTGTTTAGGATTAGATTACCGGTTTTTTTCTAAAGTCTAATTCGGCTCAATACTCCTAACATTTCCGCTTGAAATCTGAAATTTGATTCACTAATTATTTTCTTCCTCTCTCAAAAGTAGTAGAGAGATTCAACCTATCATCAGGTTCACACACCTCCCTAGTCTTTTGAACATTAGTAGAGGATTAACATTAGTTTCATGTTTAGGATTGTGTTTCCGGTTCCTTCTAAAGTTTGCTTTCACTCTATACTTCTAATGCTTCCACCTGAACACTGAACTGTTTTTCACTAATTACCCCCTCGCCAATAGGAGTAGATAGGTTCGCCTATCGTCCGGTTCACACACCTCCCTGGTCTTCTGAATATTAGTAGAGAAGTATCATTAGTTTCCTGTTTACGATTGGGTTTCCGGTTCCTTCTAAAGTTTGCTTCCATTCTATACTTCCAATTCCTCCACCTGAACTCTGAACTGGTTTTCACTAACTACCCCCTCGCCGATAGTAGTGGATAGGTTCAACCCATCCTCCAGTTAACACTACACCCAGAAATTTTACCATTAGTAAATAAATATCATTAGTTTCCTGTTTAGGATTGTGTTTCCGGTTCCTTCTACAGTCTGCTTTCACTCTATACTTCTAATGCTTCCACCTGAACTCTGAAGAGTTTTTCATTAATTACCCCCTCGCCAATAGGAGTAGATAGGTTTAACCTATCGCTCGGTTCACACTCCTCCCTGATCTTTTTTACATTAGAATAGGATTTTCATTACTTTGTGTTTAGGATTATGTTTCCGGTTCCTTCTAAAGTCTACTTCAACTCTATACTCTATATGCTTCCACCTGAACACTGAACTTTTTATCAATAATGACTCCCTCAGGAGGAGATAAATTCAACCTATCGTTCGGTTCACGCTCCACTCGAGTCTTTTGAACATTAGTAGAGAAGTATCATTAGTATCCTGTTTAGGATTAGTTTTCCGGTTCCTTCAAAAGTCTTCTTCCACTCTATACTTCTAATGCTTCCACCTGGTCTCTGAACTATTTTTCAAAATTACCCCCTCCCCAATTGGAGTAGATACGTTCGCCCATCGTCCGGTTTACACTCCTCCATGCTCTTTCTTGTTTCCTGTTTAGGGTTCAGTTTCCGGTCCCTTCTAAAGTCTACTTCAATTCTATACTCGTAACCT